TTTTTTTTTTTTTTTTTTTTTTTTTTTTTTTTTTTTTTTTACATTTCCTAACATTTTATATTGTATATTACATCGTATTATAACGTACCATCTATCGTATTCGAATATCAAATATAATTAATTTGTAATTATATATGCCAATAGACATGTTTTCGGAAATCTTGCTCGAATACCGATAATGATCGACGTTAGTAAACGGAAAAACAGTACATATTTATTACGCCTAGACTTAAACTTCGATTCGATTTATATCTATGACAATTCCATTATCTCCTCGAAACATCGCTTTTTTTTTTTTTTTTTTATATATCGAAAGAACACAAGATTATTTTTCTCACTTTCCCTTTTTTTCACATATTAATTAATGTCACCCTCGCAGGAAATCATCTCACTGCATTAAGTGCATACAACAAGAATTAACATACGGATGACTAAATCATTGTACATGCTAAGACGCGAATATTAATATCGCAGTGAATACATTGCTAAAAGTTGAGAGCCAAGATTTCATCGTAAATCTTGAATTTTGATTAGCAAACATCCGGGAACAATGCCGGTGTATTAAATAAAAAAAGATGTAAGATAGTCTACTGTATTGCTAGAATTAGTATTGACGATCAACGAATGCGTGATCGCATTGATATGAAAGCGCACACAACACATGAGAATAAAGAGCATTCCACGTATGAATGCTTATTATATTATTATCAATATTCCTTTTTTTTTTTTTTTTTTTTTTTCGTTCATCTCCGATGCACTTGACAACGAAAACAGGATTACGAATACCGACGCGAATATATACTTATAAATTTTCGCTTTCTATTTTTATTACACCTGGTGTGTACTATTTTCGAGCTCCTTGGTTGCGATCCTGTTTCTCAATATTCGATACAATATTTCAATCGGTCGCAAACAATGACAACACACAATAAATTCAATCAATATACCCGAGAAATATTTCGGACAATTATTTACGACATTATTTTTTTTCAAACCGTTATACGTTATTTCCCTGTCAATCATTTACTTGCACTTAGAATTCACATATCTCTTGCCTGTATCGTAATTGATAAGTATCTAAACGAATCATAGCCAGGCACACATACAATTAACGTTACTCTACAAACGTGGATATTTCGTGATCTTCGACATAGATACACGCCTCCTACGCTTTCCTGTTCGTTATCTCGACACGTTTTTCTTTAGCGTCGACTCCATTCACTCGTTTGGAGGAAACGCTCAAGAAATTTGAACGACTATTATATTAAACAAATTTAATGCGACGGAATCAGGTCTAAGCGTCTCTGTAATAATAAATCATTTGTATACACTGTAATGTCATCTTTAGGCGAGGGGGCATTTCAGCAATTTAAACGCAAGCCAAACTTTCGACGGAATTCTTGAAGATTCGGAAATAGATTTCTTCTTTTCCTTTTTCTTGTTTTCGATCGATCGCATTTTTCGCGAAATTTCTCTTCAAAATTTACATAATGTGCAATTACACGATCGATTTTTAAAGCGACGTTCAACGAAAACGTCAAACTCTACGAGGTTCGTCGAAAACAAAGTTATACGATACAATGATAGATCATGTTGAAAAAAAAAAAAAAAAAAACTCAGAATAAATAAAATTAAACATTACGTATTAGTGATCTATCATCGATATCTTATACACTTTGCCATTTGACAGAGTTTGAAAATAAGACGAATTCATTTTTTGATGATCTTACGAACATCGCGTATTTAGTATGTACCAAACTGCGTATTCGATCTTTGAATATTATTTAAGATCTTTGCATTGTTCGCAACTGTAAAGTATTTGTTCTAGTATCACGTAGAAAGGAACATGTATTTGTGAACAGTAAATTCTTTTGAATTAAGCAAAAAATAAAATTAAGCATATTTTGTTAATGCCACAAACGACTTGTGTCAGTGTAGCGTTCCTTTAATTCCAAATAAAACTCATTTGTTACGCTACGATAAAGAGAAAGACATTGCAGGTTTAAAGAGGCTCTTAAAAAAATAAAATTCCATTCAATGAAATAATTTAATAATAATAATAATAATAATAATATTAATAATAATATTAATAATAATAATTAATAATAATTAATATATAATAATAATAATATACCTTACATAATAACTCTTGTTATCATGTAATGTCTCTGTACCACTATAGCCATTATTTTTATAACTTCTACAAATTCAAATACTTCTTTAAAAATCCCTCTGTAATAGTAATATAATAATAGTAGTACGCAATAAATCCAAATTTTAATCAATAATCGGTTTTTTAATTAAATGTCATTTTTTGTACTTTTTGCCGATTGAATTTTGGATGCGCGTTATACAATTGCGTACATACATATATAAGGGCAATTTATATTTTGTAAAATTTGAATCGCTTTATCAAATCGCGATTCTGTAGTTATATTTCAATAATTTTCTTGAAATGTCTAACATTTCCTTAATGAACTATTTTCATAATTCATTTTATAAAACAAACATAATTGTTTTCTAAATAATGTTCCATTTACGAGCCGATACTGTGTCACATTTTCTGTTTCTGCGATCCCAAAGTATACCAATAATTAGGTACATACGTGGATCTGATCTAATAGTTGGTAGGATCGAAGCTATATCATTCTATAATCACCTTACGGTTATTCGTAATAATTGACGACTTTGTTCTAAGGTGAGTTTACAAATATTTATTTTTTCGTTTTTTCAAATCAACCGATTGGCCCTGATTTGATTCTCAAGTCAATCGAAATCGAGATAGACTTAACTGGGCTATCATAATGATCAATATGATTAAATTCACCAATGTATGTTCGCATTAGATATATTTTTCTATATTATTGACTTAACAAGTCTACCTATTTCGTGATTACAAATAGTGTATATTCATAATCGAGAAAGAAATCTGCAATAAAATTATTAGTAATTGCTAATAATTATATGTATTATTGGCAGAAACACTGTCTATGTAATCCTACCAACGATTAATGACTGAATGTGGAAAAATATAAAACTTAACTAAATGTACACAACTTTCACTCTGTTCACACTTTCATACTCATCTATTCTTTGACCGCACATTATACATTCTATTTTTCTCTCTCTCTCTCTCTCTCGCATACTCTTTCTTTCGTTCACTTATCATCTGTGTAATATTTTTTTGTTTTGTTTCGAAATTTACATAAAGTACAAACTTATGAAAACCGGAAAAATGTAACACAATAGTCAGTGTAGTATTTTTTAAAGTGTCGTGTAAGTATTTATCTAATTACATTAGGTCACACTTAGGTGTCCGTCGATTACACACAAGTTTGAGTTATTTGATAAACTGTTTCTTTGAATTCCGATCCACTCGGACAATGACGTTAAGGTTCTTTGTTGGAATGTCCCAACTCGCACCACCATTATATTATTTACTTTGTTACACCGACTTTTTCGATTCGGTTTATTTTATTATTTATTATTATTATTATTTGTTATTGACTGACGTATATATTATACGTTTTTATCGTATCATCCAGCGCCAAATATTCATCCAAGTCTTGCCCGGTTTTAGTGGATTTACAACGAACAGCAAATAACATTATAACGACTCCTCAAATGCTGCCATCAAATCACTTTGCATGTTCATGTCAATTTGTCCAGCCATCTGAAATAATAAATATATCCAATCTTGGCAAATTCGTCTACCAAAATCTGTAGACGATAAAGAAAATTTATTTATGATTCAAACTTTCTACAAAAAAATAATTAAATATTTCTAATTTTTATATAAGAGACTATATATATATATATATATATTATTTGAATTTTCATATATTTAAATTTAAAGTTTTACGAAACATGAAATACTCGTATAAAAAGTATAATAGAACTTACCGCTTCGCGTCGTCGTCGTTCTTGCTCTCGTAGCCTTTGACGTTCTCTTTCAGCTGCGGCTTTATCCTGATTGGATGAATGACTTGGACTACTACTATCAGTATCAACAATGGCTTTGACTTCTTCTGCTCTTGACGTAGCAGTCATCACATTTCCTTGTTGATCACCAACAGTTTTTCTAACTTTGTCTAAAGCGTCTTCTTCTTCTCGTTCTCTTCTTCTTTCATTTTCTTGTCGTAAACGTTCTCGTTCTGCTTGTTCTTTTTGTTGTCTACGCATTTCTTGTTGTTCCAATAAAGCTCTTTGCTATAGGAATAATTAGATATTTATTTTTAAATATATCATATATATATATTAATTTATATATATGAAAGTCTTCATTTAATTTTATTAAATAATCAAATAAAAAGCATTATATTAATATGTACAATAATATTATTATATTATTTATAAAATAAATATATTTCACTAACCCTGTCTTGCTTTTCTTTTGCTTGTTTTTTGAATGCTTGGAATGAATCCTGTGCTGCACTTTTCATGCTACTTCCTGCTGCGGATTGAGGACTTGATGCTTGTGCTAAAGATGACCATGATGAGGCATTTTTCACATTTTGTTCTACAGTCTATATAAGAATAAATAAGTAAAAAAATTAAATATTTAGAAAAATACAGAAAGAAAATTATGTAACATTACAAAAATTTGAAAATCTTCTTACCTTATTTTTAAAAGCTGAAGCAAAATTCGACACAGGATTTTTTGAATCGGGTGGTGTCATCTTTTTCTCAGGCATGAGCTGTGAACTCGAATGATTACTCATTGATGGCATCCCTGTATTCATCTCTGCAAAAAGAGCTCCGGCTAGAGCAACGGCATTATATATTTGATTAGTAAGCAGTTAATATAGCAATTTAAAATGTGAACAACATACATAAATAACAAGGATTAAATAAAGTTGATTTTTAATAAAGTTATAATACATTTAATTTGCAATATCAGAAAATATGTAATACATTATCATGCTCTATAAAGAAAAAGTGAAGAAGCAAATTTGAAAAGTGAAGAAATGAATTATTTGAAAAATATAAAAATAAAAATATTTACAAATATTAAGTTAATATATTATTTTAGTATAGATTAAATCAGCAGAAATGAATAGAAAATAATAATGATTAGATGGTAGATATAATGAATTAAATTTAAAGATAAAAATTATAATTTGCAGCAACATAACATAATATTCAAATGCATGCTTTAAATCTAAACTAATCATAATACATACCATCCATAGGCTTTTGAGGCATTTGCGATTGAGAAATTGATACTGATTTCTCTTCTTTCTTAATTGGAATTTGCGACATTTGCATTGGCATAGATGACTGCATGGGCATAGGATCAAAAATTGAACCTATTCCGCCCATACTCATTCCCATATTAAGACCAGATATGCCATTATTATTTAACATATTAGGCGGAGAATTCTCACGCTTAATATTAGAAAATCCATTGGAATGCTGTTGTGATATTGTAGCATTGTGAGAATTTTGTATATTAGTTAAAGGTGATGTTGTATTTATCATATTTTCCAACTGATTGTGCATTGACATATGAGTAGCTAATCCTTGTTGTAAATTCATATTCAGATTGGCCATGGTCATATTTCCCAAATTTAGATTAGATGCCATACTTGTAGGCATCATATTCACTGGTGTTTTTATATCAGGCAGTAAATTTAAATTGGTGTTATTAGTTGTTGTATGTGGTGTTTGAATCATTGGTATATGCGGTTTTTTTTTTAATGACATTTGTTCCAACGATGTTTGTGTAGTAGGCACAGGAGCTGTTCAAAAAAAATATTTTTTTCATAAAATATTCATATAAAATAAATAAATAAATTTTATAAATTTTAATATATTATTATAATATACAATATAATAAAATACGTACCTAGAGTATTATATGGTTGTAAAAGATCTGATTGTTGAGTTAGAGTTGTCCCATCTGTGGGTACAGGAGTGTTTGCATTTGAAAAGGAACTAACAGATGTAGGTGGCTGTGGTGGCTGAGGCACAACCGGTGAAGCTACTATAGAATTCGTATTTGTAGGTGTAACACTTGGTGGTGGAGTTGGTACAGATACTGATGGAGTTGGTGGGTTGGATGTAGTTGGTGGTGGCGGTGTAGGTTTTTTTACAGGAGCAGCTGTAGCCATAGCTGTAGATCGAGGAGGTTGAGCGGGCATAGATGTGTGACTCGCTACAGGCATTCCTTGACCAGCTGTAACAGCAGCTACTGCTACAGATTGTTGACTATTGCCACCTAATAAAATTTTATTAAACATTAAATATAAAATAGAAAATTTAAAACATTTTAAATTATCATATAAATATGCGACGTGCTTTTAATATTATACATTCTTATACGTCGCAATAATGAAAAGAATATTATAATATATCTTTTTGTTTAATATAATTGATGATGATAATGATGAAATGATTTATACAAATGATGTTTAATATAATTAAATATTAAATTAAAATATATATTTAAGAATTGCATAATCTGAAAATTAAGAATAATAAAATCGCATAAATATGTTTTTTTTAAAAATTTAAATTAATTTAAATTGTTTACATACCTTGCTCTGAAGAAACATTACTAGATTGAGTTACAGCTGGTTTTGTAATTGGTCCCGTAGAATTTGTTGGGGGTTGATTGTTCATTAAAAGACCTCCAGTATGATTCAATGTAGGTGCCTAAAGAGTGCACTATTATTTAATATATTGTGCATAAAAAAAATGTAAAAAGTTATTAGAAATACTATATATATGTGAAACAATTCATATATACCCTAATATAAATAAAATTAATAAAGAACTTAAAAATAATTATTATAATACGAAAGGATATAATTTATATGCACACATCATATACATACATATACATATATATATATATATGCACATGC